TGTGATGCAGAATTCTGAAATGATGATTCAGACTCTGATACAGGCGATGTTGCCCGACTGCCACGGCGAAGACGAGGCCAGTTCCGATGCCCAGCTGTGCAGGTTGGCCTGAGAAACCTTACAACCTAGGGTTGTTATGTTAGCACAGGAAAGCACACAAACCGGTTCCACGCGGAACCGGTTCCGCGTCACAAAACCGGTTCCACGCGGAGCCGGTTTCCTCTTGACAATGCTATAGCAATGGCACTGAATCAAGCTTCTGTCGGTTTACATGTCTGCAATCAAGCATTACTTCTAAGCACAGCGACGGAATAACGGAGCCGGTTCTCGAACCAAAGCAGTTTGCAGTCTGTGGCAGCATTAGTACAGGAAAGGAGCAAAACAGGTTCCACGTGGAACCGGTTTTATGTCGCGGAACCGGTTCCACGTGGAACCGGTTCTCCTTTGACAATGCTATAGCAATTTCATTCCTGTTGTGTGGTAGCTGTTTGCTGCCTCAAGAACTCAGCAGATCTCAGCAGTTTCCGCTCTGCCGCCATGAGTGCAGATGCAGCCAGCGAGGGGCCCGAGAAGCAGCTGCTGATTCAGCAAAGGGAGGAGAAGAGGCTGAGGGTGATCCACGGCATAAAGAACTCTGCAGCTTATCAGATTTATTTGCTTGCAAAGTTGAACGGCACGGAGGATTGTGGAGACGGCCATTCGATGAGCCCACCTACGACTCCAGTTGCGGATGGTGCGAAAAGCAAGCGGGTCTGGGAAGACGAGGCTTTCAACTGGCGGCGCAAGCTCCGTGAATGGTCTAGCAGAATCCAAGGCGATGCTGCTTGAGTGGACCAGGAGTAGAGTGTGGATTTTGATATGTGCAGCTACAGAAAATTAGTAGTGCATGCTACGTTGCATTTACAACGTCGGGGCACTGCCTAGAATCAAGCTTCTGCCGGTTCAAAAGCAGCACTGCTGCGCTTGTGTACGTGCAGTTAACGACGAAGCGGAACCTGTTTATCACAAAACCGATCAGGTCTCTCCGGCATTGCCCATCTATGGTCGCCGGCTTAGTGCTCATGTCTTCCACTCAGTTGAGTCTCTTTAGCTTTTAGGGCTGGGATTCGGATTATTTGTCCGGTCATGTGAGGGTAGCCTTCTGCTCCCGACTCGTTTGCCTGTGACGATCACTTTGACGAGCTGCAGACATCCGCAGCTACACACCGGCTTCCAGGGCACCGCTTAGCATCAGGGGCACCAGCATGGATGACGTCGATGGTCCAGTTCCTGAGCCAGTGGATGATGACGATGAGGATGATAACTTGCAGACTCAGCTCCTTGAGGCCATGCAGGTCATCGTGAAGGCTGGGAGCATTCTGACTTTGTGCACTGCGCAGCCTAGGGACTGGCAGCATGTTCATGCCTTCACAGTATACCAGTATACCTCAAGCATAACGTTTTTGTGGCGGAGGCTGTGTCCGCGGATGTCCAAGTGAAAGCAGCTGCGACAAAAGCAGGGCGCTTCGTTGTGACGAAGGGCAAGATGCCGTCTCAAGAAGCGCTCGCTGCCAATCGAGTCTTCTGCCTTTCAACTTAGCACACACGCCTTGTCAATGACATTGTGCATGCTGTCTCCGGAATTGCCAAGGGCATCCTATGCCACATCGTGCTGCCAGCTTTCAAGCACAAGGACATCAAACGTGTTCCCAACTTGTATCGCATCCTGACGCGAGTTCTCAAGAAGTGGAGAGCCACTTGTCGCAATTAGCTGATATAAAAACTCAACTGCCAGCGGTTTCCAACTGACCATTGGCGAGGCCACCGGCTTCGGCGACAAGAAGCTCCGCGAGGACAGCAGAGACCTGAAGCTCATGTTGACGTACCATTATCGCAGCTCGACTGCCCAGTCCCGCAGGTATGTACAGTCGCTGATTGCTGTCTCCCCTTCTCCCTCTCCCTCGACTCCTTCCCCTTCCATCCCCCCTCACTCTTTGCTCTGCAACTTGTGTCCAAGGATTGGCACTCCGCTGTAAAGAGCATGCTTGTCCGCACGTCCAGATGCTCACCGCCGCTTGACAGTGAGTGAGAGTGTTTCACATGGTTTGCGTGTGCTTGTCACCATCTTTGTGTTCGCGGCATACCGAGGACTTGCTGCCTTTAAAACGGCCTTTGGCCCGGGGAGAGCTACAAGATCAGAGGCCGCCGCTTCTCACTATATCCCATCTCTGATGTGACGTGGCTAGAGCAGCAGCCTCTATATCACTAGCAGAGCCTAGGCCAGCGGCTGCAGCCTGAAGCCGTCCAGGAGAACGGTATGGGTCACCGATCTGCAGGCTGAAGCCGTCGAGGAGTTTTGATGGTATGGGTAGCCGATCTGCAGGCTGAAGTCGTCGAGGAGTTTTGTATGGGTGGCCGATCTGCAGGCTCAGGCCGACCAGGGGTTTTGTACAGGTCAGCGGCCGATCAGTACACCTGCACACAGAAAAGGCAGTGCTTGCATGTTGACATTCAACCCATGACGTCAGAAGCTTGGCAAGAGTGCAACTTTGCGGTTTTCATTGCGGTTCATCAGAGTGCTGAAGCCCAGACAGCTTTGGTCTTCGGTGTTGCTAGCCATGGGTGCCGCAGTGGCCGTCGAACAGGCGACGAAAGATGGGCCAGTGCGAGGACAGTGCAAGTTACCGGTGCTGTGCGGGAAACGGTTTACCAGGTTTTTGAAACAGCACGTTGGGTGTGACCGACTTTCCAGCTGAAGAAGATCAGAGCTTGGTTTCAATTCCTGCACACGTCTTGTCTCGAGAGGAGCGACCAATCCCGCTGTCTCCAGGCCTTTGGATACTGCAGGCGGGTTCCCAGTAAGTTGGAACAGGCCATACGTTTTTCATGTCGGTCCACAGCTGTGGCTAGGGACCCTCAGGCGGCCAGCGTCCGGCTAGAGGAACTCACTTGTAACATGAGAAGACTTTCTGACAGACCGCCATATTCTGCAGACCACGTGGGACAGCTTGGCAACAGGAGTACCAGCTGCGAGTTCCGAAGGCGGTGGCAGTGGTCCTGCGTCGAGGCACATTCCAACTGAGTGACAGCTTGCCATCATGTTATCATGTTAATCATGTTACATGTTTGTCAATCACGTTTGAGTGGGGATTGTTCTCGTAAAACCTGTTTGGTCTTGGAGCCGAGTCTTCCTAGCCAGTCATATACGACTGTTCACATACCTTAACTTACTCCGTTTATCCATGCAGAGACGCTAGCCAGCCAGTGTTGAGAATTGAAAGAGCCGTAAGGCACTGCCGTGCTGGGCATAGCTCTGCATCAAGCAAAGATCGAGCCGGAGGAGAGTGGCAACACTGTCCTGTTTCACATAGCTCCTGGTTTGTCCTTGTGCGATCTGTTGGAGCAGGACATGCTGGCGCCGCTGCTGGCCAAAGGTCTGAGCATGTCCCGGCTGTAAATGGCCACCCGTCGCAAATTCAGTTCTTGATTTTGCGAAGAAGCAGCAAAAACAGCAAAGACACATCACCGGGGACCCGGTATCATGTTGGGCACCAGGTCCGAGGCTCCGCAAAGACCCGGCATCTGCGCAGCTCCAAAATGCAGGACATTGCCAGATTCTCTGATTGTGTGGCCATGCAGTCTGAGTCAAGCACCTTTACAGTACACATGTTGGGCACCAGGTCCGAGGCTCCGCAAAGACCCGGCATCTGCACAGCTCCAAAATGCAGGACATTGCCAGATTCTCTGATTGTGTGGCCATGCAGTCAAGCACCTTTACAGTACACATGTTGGGCACCAGGTCCGAGGCTCCGCAAAGACCCGGCATCTGCGCAGCTCCAAAATGCAGGACATTGCCAGATTCTCTGATTGTGTGGCCATGCAGTCAAGCACCTTTACA